CGAACCGGTTCATCTTTATCATAAACACCACAATAAATATTCAATACTATTCAAACAAATAGTATTCAATTTTACATCTTTACGGACCATCCATCTTATCTCTTTGTTTGAACTCTGCTAAATAAATATGCAAGTCTAATGTCTCTTTTTCACACACCCAAAAAACTCAAAAAAAAAAAAAAGAGGGATCAAATCTAAGAGCGATCATGACAAGAAAAAAAGTGAAACTTGCATGGGTAGCCAATGAAAACTCAAGAACAATGAGTTTAAAGAAAAGGAGGTTAGGGATAGTGAAAAAAGCAAGAGAGCTAACTATATTGTGTGATGTAAGGGTTTGTATTATCATATTCAGCCCTAAAGAAACCGAGCCAATAGTGTGGCCATCTGTTGAAGCGGCTCGTGACCTTTTATACGATTTCTTTGCCTTACCAGAGATTGAGAAGAAGAGGAAAGAGACGAGTCTTGAGTCATACCTCAAAGAGAAGACAAAGAAGGTTCAAGAGCAATTGATGAAGAGTCGTAAGAAGAACACGGAGTATGTGGTTGATCAGCTGATGGGGCAACTACATCGTGGTCAAAGAATTGTTAATCTTAACTTGAGCGAGATTTATGAATTGTTATCTTTTTCAAAGGATAAGATCATGTTTTACAGGAAAAAACTAGATTTCATGCAACATCCACCAATGCATTTGTTTGAAGCGCAATCTGAGGAGCTCAAGACCACCACAAATGATGTTGTCATGATAGGAGGTGGTCAAGGTGATGAGAGAGCTACGAAGGCTGATGAAGCAGTGAAAATGATCATCATTGGCACTGCAAGGGAGAATCAAAGTCATTACTTGATGGATCAATGGTTTTTCCCAACTTTTGAACCGCCTAGCTCTCAAATCCACCAATCAACCGGGATGAAAATGACATATTACAGTGAAAATCCAATCCCTAGAAACTATCTTCCGAAGCAAGGAAGATATCTTTCGTACCAAAGAACCAATCCCTGAAGAAGGTAATGTTGATGCGACGTCTTTTGATATCAATAGGGTTTGGCCGGGAATTAACAATCATCGTTTCTAGATTTGAAGTTAGTATTGTGTTTAAGTTATGTTTTTATCTTTTGGAATTGAGTTTGTGTGTTTGTTTGCTTCTAAACATTTTATATTGTCATTTTGATTTTCCAACTAGTTAGTAATGTCAGAGAGTTAATTCAACCGAATTCTCTTTGATGAAACTCTCAGAATATTATATCGCTTGCTTGAATAATATGTTGTTTATCAAAGATAACTTATCATTTTATCATTTTGTTAACCACCTCTCTATTTTTTTAAACAATAATTTTTTATTTTGTCTAGTTAACATGTTTCAATATGAGACTGGGAAAAAATGGACATCAAACTCACAA